CAAGGGGAATTGACACCTGCCACCACCAGCTATCGCTCCCCCTTGTCACCTAATCTTCCCTAGATTAGGAGACACTTCCTGGCACACACACCCTTATCCTAGGGTGTCATGAATAGTGGGAGGGAGGATTGCTGGCAAGGTATGTCCACAGGGCATCTGCCACCTACACAAACAAGTCTCTTGTCTGAGTTGATTCCAGAAAAAAGGCGTGGCACACAGGCACTCCCCAGAACTAATACCCCAGCCCCCAGCTCCTGCCTTCACTTCAGGAGCCCCAAACAAAACTACCTGTAACCAATCCCCTCCCTTATTTTATTTTATTTTTTTTTTTTGAGACGGAGTTTCGCTCTTGTTACCCAGGCTGGAGTGCAATGGCGCGATCTCGGCTCACCGCAACCTCCGCCTCCTGAGTTCAGGCAATTCTCCTGCCTCAGCCTCCTGAGTAGCTGGGATTATAGGCACGAGCCACCATGCCCAGCTAATTTTTTGTATTTTTAGTAGAGACGGGGTTTCACCATGTTGACCAGGTTGGTCTCGATCTCTCAACCTTGTGATCCACCCACCTCGGCCTCCCAAAGTGCTGGGATTACAGGCTTGAGCCACCGCGCCTGGCCAATCCCCTCCCTTATGACCCTCTGCCTAGGAAGTTAAGAGTCCCAGGGAGGATGGGCAGCTCCTGGACCCTCTTAGAACGAGACAACTCCAGAGAGTGGCCTGGGGAGTTGCCCAATTGCCCCCATTTGGACACCCATCCCAGGCCCTGAAGACCCCCAGGTGAGCCAAGCCTGAGGACACCCCTGGGGAAGATATTTCCTCCACCCAGAGAGTCCCTGGTGCAGGAGACAACCAAGGGGGCAGGAAGCCATGGCAGTGACCCTGGAACCTAACCGCCAATGGCAGCATCCTGAGAGCTGACCTGCCCCTCCAGCCAATGACACAAAGTAAAGGGTGGAAGGACGGAGGCCCCATCAGATTATATCTCTTCCAGGTGAACACTTTCCAAGGCTCCAAGAAGGGTCATGTCACAGGCCATAGTCTACTGCAGGCACCCTCCCCTCAGTTCTCCCAAGCCAACAGGGATACCTACAAGAAGAAAAGTGGTGAGGGTTTTCTCCAGGGAGGCCCATTTCTCAATATCACTGATAACCACCAAACGATCCCAGCCCAAGAGGGCATGAAACTCAAGATGGAAACCTCCCCCACATGGCTGCACAAGAACCAAATCTCACTGGAAACCATTTCAGCCACCCAGCCTCAGGACCCCCAGGCTCAGGACCCCCACACAGCGCTTCCGGAAGGGGGAGGTCATCTCCTGCCCTCACAAAAGTCCGGGGAAGATAAAATGCTCTGGTAGAGATTAAAGCTCACAGCTACATATTTCCCACCGTTAACTCCTCCCCAGCAGATATACCCTCCTTTACAATCTATGACCAAGCAATTCTCGTCCTGGTTTAAACATGAGTGCACTAGGGGGTAAACCACTTGTTGGCTGTGAGATCAGTGTAGTGTATGGGAAAAAGTATTTATTTTAATAGAATGCAGTACAAGAGAAAATATCAAAGCACATTACAGGTAATTAGGGTAGGGTAAGTGTCTCATGAAACAATCATATAAAGTTTTTGGTGTACATGCATGTGTCAGATATACATATGTGAACACATACTCCTCTTCGAGATTTTATCCACATCACTCCTCTCTCAATGTAGCCTGCTCAGTGAGGTCTTTTCCTCTCCATCCTATCTAAAATCAAACCATATATATCTCTGATGACTTTTCCTATTTTGATTTTTCTTTATGGTGCTTATCACAGCCATCTCCTTTTCCTTTTCCTTTTTTTTTCATTCATTCATCCATTCATTCATTTATTTGAGATGGAGTCTCACTCTGTTGTCCAGACTAGAGTGCAGTAGTGCAATCTCACCTCATTGCAACCTACACATCCCAGGTTCAAGGGAATCTCATGCCTCAGCCTCCCAAGTAGCTAGGACTGCAGTTACCAGCCACCATGCCTGGCTAATGTTTCTCATTTTTTTGTATTTTTAGTAGAGACGGGGTTTCACCATGTTGGCCAGGTTGGTCTTGAACTTCTGACCTCACCTGATCTGCCCACCAAGGCATCCCAAAATGCTGGGATTACAGGGATGAGCCATCGCACCCAGCCCAGATAATTTCCTTTATAGAACTTCTTTTTTTCTTTTTTCATTTTTGTGTTGAGGACTGACATTCAATAGATTATAGAGTAAATGTACTTTCTGAATATGACTGCTGGCAGTAGTAAGAACACAAACCATCCAGTCTGTGGTGACCTTCCAATAAAAATATTCTAGGATGGGTTGTCACTGTTCTATTTTGTAACAAATGATCATTTCTGGATCAATACAAATATGAAGGCCATGAAGACACAGTACTCTGTGAAGCCAGAATTGGGGTAAATGCCACCCCATGATCACAACGACCAGTTCTATTACTAAAAGAATGTAGAAAAGCTGCACTGAGCAGATGAAAGCAATAGTCACAACACATATTTAAGTACATAATAAAAATTTTATCAAATCAACATGGGAAAAGGTGAATTAATCAAACAGTGCAGGGACAACTGGCTATTTATTTGGAAGAATACCTTACACCATGTACAATAAGGAACACCACAGAGAAGTATGAATAATGTGATTTAATATATCTGCTTCATACATGTTGAAGGAGACATACCTGTGTGGTCCCAAAGGGAGTTTACTTACACCAATAGGAAAGCAGAACAAACCAAAACACTTAACTTTCAACTAGTAGAGTAACTTTATTTCTGACACTGAGCCTTCTACATAGGAATTCACAGAAATGAAAAACACTGTACTGCTTATTCTCCATTTCTCTTCCCAGATTCTCTCTCCACCATTCTCTGTGTCCACCTGTGCTCTTCTGCAGATGTATCTAGTTGATTTCTCCAAAGAGAGGCACCTGCAATTTGGCAAAACAATTCTGGTAGTAATGATGTCTCTTACAAGGTAGTGCCTCCTCCATGACAGCAGTTCTTACTGAGCTCTGGTAACAGTGTTTCCAACCTTGCCCCTTCAAGCCTCAGAATGGCAATGGCTTCCTGCTGATACAAGTCTTTGGGTGTTTCAATGTCCCTTGTTTCTGGCCCATACCATTGTAATCAGTCTTCCATTAAAATATTTTTAGTTGGAGAATTCTGTTTTCCAGCAGAAAGAACCATGGCTGATACAAACAGCCATCTTTATATTAACTTGTCAAAAGAAATAATTCTTCCTCCTAATTACTGTATAGAACATTAACACTTAGAAAAATACTCCTCTGTGTCAGCTGGAATGCCTTCAGCTCTAAGTATCAGACAGCCCTAAGACCAAATAAAAAGCAGTTATTGCAGGTTATACGAAGTCTCAGTAGACAGCAGGTACAGAGAACAGAGCAGCTTCACAAGACAGCATGTCACCTTTGAGCCAGCTTTTCCCACCTTGTGCACTGTTATCTTCAGGCTACTGCCCTTCTTCAGAGACACAAACAATAAGCCAATACCATGTACAGACATGAAAAAAGCCCAGCAGAAGAGGAACAGTCCCTTCTCATGTAATGACAATGTGTTATCAAGGAGATCTTTCCCAGAAGTACTACAGAATACTTTCCAAACATCTTTGCTCCCAAGTTCACCCCAACAAAATCATTGAAATGGAATTGCCATGATTAGCTCTGACTAATCTGGACTTACCACCTAAGTCATCTGGGAGAAGGATGCACAAAAATATAAAATTTAGCTCAGCAAGAATGAAGTAAGGAATGGCCATCGTGTGGGCAGTGTCTTTTAGAACTGCTGACCAATGTGTTCCAAAGGGGCAAAAGAAACAACAGCACAAAGGAGGCAGAGACACTCTACAATACTAATATGCAGAACTAGTGTTATATAGACCATGCCTAAACAGATACACAATGAAGTACCAAGGGTATGAAAAGGGACTTTCATTACATACTGCCACTTTTTATTTGAGTGCAGTATTACTGTTTATAACTGATGTTAACCTTTGCATAATTTAGCTAAAAACCATTATTATTGACAGCATTTACATTACAGAATGACCCAGAGGTAGCTGAAAAATGTCAGAAAACTACTGTTTAACTTCCTTACTGAAGTGATAGTTCAATAATGACCATATTCATGAATATAAGCCAGGAAACAGTCAGAGGAAGGGTATGTGATATAGTTCTTTGTGAAATAATATTTCACTGGGCCAGGTGCAGTGGCTTACTCCCAGCACTTTGGGAGGTCAAGGCAGGTGGATCACGAGGTCAAGAGATTAAGACCATCCTGGCCAACATAGTGAAACCCCATCTCTACTAAAAATACAAAAATTAGCTGGATGTGGTGGCACACACCTGTAGTCCCAGCTACTCAAGAGGCTGAGGCAGGAGAATCACTTGAACCCAGGAGGCAGAGGTTGCAGTGAGCCAAGGTTGGGCCACTGAACTCCAGCCTGGTGACAGAGTGAGACTCCGTCTCAAAAAATGAAAAGAAATAATATTTCACTAAAAACATATACCAGCCAACCTACAAAGAGACTCTGGTAGTATTTAGAGTAGGATGGATTCAGAGGTAGTTAAAAACCTCAGAAAAATATTTTTGGCTTCTTTCTTGAATACGCAGTTCAGCTATAAATGGCCATAGCCATTTATTTACATCAGGAAATAGAAAAGGGGGTATGCAGTTTGTATTGCCAAATATGTTTTCATATATCCACAGTGATGTGCTGTAATGACAGCAGGTTCTCTGAGAAAATTAAAACCCTGATTTACGGTTTGTCAATTTCCATGGTATAAATACTCCCACTAAGTCCAAGCTACCAACAAGACAGCACTGAATGTGGAGTTGGGAAGAGATAGATGTGCAGTGCACATAATCATATGGTATTTTCATCACACAGATTAAATAATTCAAGTAAAACAACCAAGGTAATAGTGAAATGTAGCCAAATAATTAGGAAGTGATGAACGCTGAGTATTTATTACCTTTGTTTTCAATTTAACTGTAAGTTTACATACTTTAAATAATGACTGATTTTAATAACTGGCTCACAAAATTCCTTAAAATTTAACAATCAGCAGCACTTTTAAGTCAGTATGAGGTTATACTAGCACATCACTATATTTAAGTATGTGTGCAGAAATATATTTACATATACACACATATATACACATAAACATACACATATATATATCAACCTATAAAGACATCAGTGGTATTTAGTGTAGAAAATATTAACACATACCATAGTAGTTACTCAATTAAGGGTACATATTTCCTCCTCACAATCATGTTGAGCTCCAATATACAAATCAAGCATACTCAAATTTATTACATTAGCATACTCACGTAAGGTCTACAAACATCAGGGACTCTTTACATACATGTTTAATGCTGCTGTCATTCAACTTTTATAAGCTTCAGATTCTTCTGTGAATATGGATATAAATGAACATTGTCCATTATATTTACAATAAAATTTTGGTATCACAACTGGAATGTAACACTAAACAACACAAATTCTAGATAAAGATTTTTACCATATTACTTAGATGAATAGGATTCCCCTCAGTACAAATTTTCCCAAGAAAAGTTTTAGTTTTTCTTGAAAGCTTTCACATATTCAAACAAGAAGTCATTTTCTACAAGTTTCTGGCATTCTTTGGCTTTCTCTAATCTCCTTTTTTGAAATTGTGTAACAAATTTCACAGGTGTAAGAAGGCTTCTAACATTCAGGATGTTGAAAGAGCTTTCACCCTCGTATGAATTCTCTGATGTTTGGTGAGCACTGACCTCTGACTAAAGGTCTTCCCACATGCATTGCACTCGTATGGCTTCTCCCCTGTGTGAGTCCTCTGATGTTTAGTGAGAGCTGATTTTTCACAGAAGGTTTTTCCACATTCATTACACTTATAGGGTTTCTCCCCTGTGTGAGTTCTTTGATGTACAATGAGGTTTGACTTCACACAGAAGGATTTTCCACATTCATTACATATAAAGGGTTTCTCCCCTGTGTGTGTTCTTTGATGGACAGTGAGGGCTGATCTGTGGCAGAAGGATTTCCCACATGCATTACATTCATAGGGCTTCTCCCCTGTGTGTGTTCTCTGATGTTCAGTGAGGTTTGACTTCACACAGAATGTTTTTCCACACTGCTTACATTCATAGGGTTTTTCTCCTGTATGTGTTCGCTGATGGTTGGTCAAGTGTGGTTTCTGGCAAAAGGCTTTCCCACATTCAGTACATTCATAGGGCTTCTCTCCTGTATGTGTTCTCTGATGTTGAGTAAGGTTTGACTTCTCCCAGAAGGTTTTCCCACATTCACCACATTCAAAGGTTTTTTCTCCTGTGTGAGCTCTCCGAAGCTGGGTAAGTTGTGACTTCTTGCTGAAATTACTCCCATTCTCATTGTAATTATAAGACTTTCCCCCCATGTGTACTATCTGATGTTTTAAGAGAGCTGACTTTTCCCACGTTTTGTCACTCACTTTATATTCACGGAGAATCTTTCTTGTGTATGCTCCTTGATGGATAATGAAAGCTGAGTTGTCACAGAAGACTTCCCCATATTCAGTATATTCATAAGGATTGTCCTTTGTAAGAGCTCTCTGATGTCCAAATCTTAAATCCACACAGAAGGACTTCCCACAAATACTGCATCCATATGGCTCCATTTCCAAATGAGTTCTTTGAGATACATTGAGCTTTAAACTTTCAATGAATGTTCTTCCACATTCATTATATTTACAGACTGTCTCTCCTATCTGAGATCTCTTATTTGTTAAAAATGCTGCCTCTTCATGGAAGCCTTGTCCATTTTTATTATACTCGAATGGTTGGTCAAAAATTGGCTGACTGAGATCCTGATGATAATTAATGGCATTCCTTTTTTGATCATATTTATAGGATTTATCTCCAAAAGGAATTTTCTCATGCCTAATATCAAGGAGCAATTTCTCACATACATTAAACTCATCAGGCTTCTTTGTGGAATAGTTCTTTTTATTAATAATTAAGCCTGAAATATTTTTCAAACTCATTTCACATGAGTCACATATTTTATAGGGATAATTTCTTAAAGAAACAGGGTCTGTGCCCAAATTGAAAGTTTTCTTTTCTTTATCTCCACTTTCTGCACTTACTGTTTTGTTGTTGTGGAATAGAAGCTCCCAAAAATGGTCATCTTCATTCTCCTGGCTGCTCTCTAACACGTCATCAACTTTCCATTTCCTTTCTATAAATGAGAAAAATAACCACATCTTATGAACCTTAAAACATTTCTGATGGAATTGAACTTTTACACAAATGTCCTATCATACAGTCAATTATTTTGTTTTAGGTTCAGTTTCCTGGTGTGAACTGAGTTCCAGTGTATATTTTCTTTACCCTTCAAGAAGGTTTAGGTGGAAAACATTAACAGGCTTCCATGGAAACAGGGAGAGGAAACTGGCAATAACATTTAATACTTTATAAATATAACCTTCAAAACTGAAAAGGAGAAATAAAATTCACAGCACAGGGAACTAGAGTGGCTGATTCCAAAATAGAAAAATTCGGAGAAAATGAGATAAACCCAACAGAGACAATGAACACTGGGTAAAGTGATGCTGAAGATGAGCAGACAAGGGGTTTCATAGGATGAATTAGGTTTGGTGGAAACAAAACAGAGCTTGGTCCTAATCTACTCACACACAGTTTATTGGGGCAGCGTTCCCACCAGAGTACATGGCTCTATCTTTGAATCAACAAGAAAATTAACATTCTGAAAACATCAACTTCCTTGAGTTCAAAAGAATAGTCCTATATAGCCCCAAATCTAGTGTTTTCTTTAAGTTTTATTGACAAGGAATAATCTTTTAAATGCTGTAAGAAAAGCAAGCTAGGGAAGGTGAAATAAACTCAAGACATGATAAATAGCCTCTCTCAGATATTCTGAGAGCTGTTCTTTCAAAGGGCAGGAAATATACAGAATGAGTTCAAGGGAGTTGTTTTTTTAAAAGGAAATAGAGTAAGTGGTAGTGAGAAACATAAGAATTAGGTTTGGCAGTTGTAGAGCATGGTTTACACCCTCATCTTCTCAACATCATGCAAATCCATTAAAAATAGTTTTGTGCAGTTGGCTAGAGATTAGACTCTCAAAAATTGCTAATCTCCAACAACATACCTTGACTCAACTAGAAATATTCTATCCTTATTTTTCCTTATATCCTGGATATCCTTCAGTGAACTGCTACTTTAACTTAAAAAAAAAAAAGTCTACTACTACTACTACTAATAATAATAAAATAAAAGCAAAAATCTCTATAACATCTCTACCATTTTAAGGCTCCATTCACCCCATTCTTTAGAAATTACTCTCTATATAATTCATTGTAACATAAAGTAAATCCCTTGCTCAATGTCATACCCTCTATTGTGACCAGAGTCCAGATCTTGGCAGGTGTTACTATAGTCTTGTTTCCTCTGCCCACATTGAGTAAACTATACATTATTCTTATAAAGCGACATGCACTAAATCTGATCAGTGATCATACACAAGGACAAAATATGGGAATGTGTACTTAGCAACAGTATCATAGAATGCTTTCAGAATGTATGGAAATGAATGACCTCTCCTAAATCTAGCTACACAGATAATTAACAAAGTAATTATCAAAATATCCAAATTAGTAAGAGAGGCCCTTCTCTTTTGGAGAACGAAAATCTCAATAGAGAAAGAAATCCTAAGCAACCCTAAGCCATATGAACAGGTCTGAGTTTTTGGCATATAGCCACTGGTGAGTTAATGTCATAAAATCTGGGCTACTTAAGTTTCAGCAAAAAATTAAGTTCTAACTTAGAAACAAGTCAAATAATAACAAGCCATTATTATTCAATGTCTAAACACTTTACAAACACAGTATGAATTACCTGAAAAAAGGCCAGGCAAACAAGACTGGACGTTTTTAGACAAATGAGAAAACACTTCTAAATAAAATTTAAGATATAGAATAGGGTGGGATTTGACATAAATTTTAGGGAGCACAAACAAGGAAATTTAAGACAGGTAGCAAAGGACTATACTATTACAGTCATTGAAACAGAAATTTACAGAGTAACTCCCTTGCTGCCATCTATTCAAAGTCAGCTCTTGAGACAAGGGTTTACAATTTAAAAAAATAAAAGAAAGGGTAATTTAATTTATTAATAAGCAGCAACTTTAGGTTACTTTGTTAAGCTAAAGAAAGATAAATTGAATGCTTTAGGCTAAAAAAAAAAAAAAAAAAGAAAAAGAAAATAACCAATGAGGAATTAGAAATTAGACAAGGCTGGGCACAGTGGCTCACACCTATAATCCCAGCACTTTGGGAGGTGGAGGTGGGTGGATCACCTGAGGTCAGAAGTTCAAGACCTGCCTGACCAACGTGATGAAACCCCATCTCTACTAAAAACAATATGAAACTAGCCTGGTGTGATAGCGCATGCCTGTAATCCCAGCACTTTAGGAGGCCAAGGTAGATAGATCACGAGGTCAGGAGATCAAGACCATCCTGGCCAACATGGTAAAACCCCATCTCTACTAAAAATACAAAAATTAGCTGGAGGTGGTGGTGTGTGCCTATACTTCCAGCTACACAGGAGGCTGAGGCAGGAGAATCCCTTAAACCTGGGAGGCAGAGCCTGCAGTGACCTGAGATCACACCACCGCACTCCTGCCTAGGCGAAAGAGCAAGACTCTGTCTCAAAAACAAAAAAAGAAAGAAAGGAATTAGACAACTAGCAATTAGACTGAGTCAAGAATGAGACAAGACAGACATAGTTTTGCTTTGAAGTGATATCAATGAAAAGTGAGAATATAAAGGTATGTAGAAGATAGTTTTAAATGAAAAATAACAATAGGAACAAAGAGACCAGTAAGAGGTATTAACAGGTTTCACATAGTGATGCCATGGTTGCCATTCAAGACAGCAGTAGGATGGCAGAATGAATCTTGTTTGACTATAGGAAACCAGGCTCTCTAGTTTTTGTGTAGTTCAGATTGTCATTTTACAATATTCTCGAAGGGGTGAATTTAATACTTACTAAAAGCATTACTGTCCCAGGACAACTCTCACCTACATACAATCGCACTCTAGAAGAGGGGTTGGCATATAACTACAAGGCAATGGCCCTTGACCTAAAAATGATTTTTAAGCTTTTAAAGGGAAAATGCTGGATAAGGCAGTAGAAAAGAGAGGAGAGGAAAAGAGAGGAGGGAGAAAGAGCAAGAGGAAAAAGAAGAAGAAGAAGAAGGAATAAGGAAAAGAAAGAAGATGAGGAGGAGCAGCTACAAACCACAAACATAAGTGGCCTGCTAAGCCTAAAACATTTACTATCTCGTAATTTACAAAAAAAGTCTGTTCACCTCTGCTCTTGAAGATCTCATTTGCCTCATTCCTTTAACATCATCTAAAGTTGATGCCTTTCAAATGGATACTTCTAGTTCTGGCCTCAACCATGTACTTATCGCATGATCAACCTCCTGGTCAAAAACGAACTTGATTCTAACAGTTATCTCCAACTTATCCTGTTCAAAATTAAGTCTGTGATAACTCCCTTATATGTCTCCTAATTTTTATCTGTGTCAATAAATGATACCCTAATTTATCTAGTTGCTTGAGACAAATTATTGGGGTCATGCTGGATTCCCCTTTATCTCATATTCAATCTGACAGCAAATGCTCTTGGCTCTATCTTCAAGATATTTGTACAAACCTACCACTTCTCAGTACCTCTGACACCTCCAACACAGTCTTATCCACTATCCTCTCTCCTCTGAAGCACATAATGGTAACCCATCCCTACTCATGCTACCCACAACCACCCCCCACAGTATATTCACTGCATAGATGTTAGAGAGATCCTTTTAAACTGTAAATCAGATCTGATGAATTAAGCTGATTTACATTTACTCAAAACAGAGTTTCTCACAGCTCCAAAAGTAAAATTAACATATCTACCATGACTCATGTTCCTTCTCATGACATTATCTCCTACCAGCCTCCACCATGCCTGCTAGCTTCCAGCTACAGTGGTTTCCCTGACACTTTTTTTTTCCTTCTTAACATCTCCTTCTTGAATTACTGACACTGTTTAAACATTCTAAGAACACACCTGTCTAAGAGATTTGGTATCTGATGTTCCTTCTGCCTGGACTACTCTGAATCCACATAACTCACACTTTCATATTACTAAAGCCTCATCTCTAATGTGGGACCTCCTCAAAAAGGTTCTCTTTAACCTACTTGCCAAATAGAATATACTGTCATTTTTCATCCTCCTTTCCCGTGCAAATTCTCTTCATAGCACGTAGTATAATCCAACACAGTGTGTGTGTGCCTATATATATATATACGCACACATGTATATATATACACACACAGACATGTACACACACACATACTTTTTTTATTTTTTATTGTAATACACACTCTATGATATCAGGGCCATTATTCTGTTATAATTCTCTTCACAGCACTTACCATGACCCAACACAGTGTGTATGTGTGTATGTGTGCCTATACACACACACACACACACACACACATATACACACACAGACATGTACACACACATACATTTTTCTTCCTTTATTGTAATACACACTCTATAATACCAGGGCCATTATTCTGTTAAATACCTAAAACATAATGGACATAGTTAGCACTCATCATGTACTGTTAAATGAATATATGGAAAGATTGCATGAACACCTGTCAGCTAACAAAAGGTGTCCAAGACAAAAGAAGGAAGACAAACAATTTTAAAAGATAAAGACAAACTAACCAACAAAACATATCTAACATGAAGCCAGCTGGGTTTGGATTATAAGTAAAATACTCTAAAACATCAAAAAATGAAAAGGATTTATGAGTGAGAATAACATATGGAGAGGTGATTAAAGTACCAGGGATGTGGGCCAATTGCTTTTGACCATTTCCAAAGGTCTGGAGCTAAAAATAGACTTAAGAAAAATATTCCAAAGGTGACAAATCCTAAAACATTACCTAAGTTCTAGTCTCCTCTGGCTTTCATCTGCCTTGAACTCACTAACTCACCTGGGTTGCACTGGCTTGGGAATCCTTTCTCTAATATCCAGGGCTCTTCTCCTTGCTCGATCTTAAAGATCACTTCTGGCTTAGGAATGCAATACCCTGTTAAGAGAAAGTAACACAGGACTGGAGCTAAATAGCTTGGCTTCAGGGACTCTGAATAAATGGAGGGGAAGGAAAGCAAAACTTCACCAGCTGCTCAAAGAAGGTGCACAAATGAATCAATCCCTGAGGAGGGAAGAGCACATTTATGGAGGCCGAATGGGATTAGTCATCTCAGAGCCTTCAATCTCAAGCTTCAAATCAGAAAACTACAGGACATTCATATGCTTCAGCAACTAATAAATGCATGCTATTGATAGCCATGTGGGGAAAAAAAATCCTTACCTACTGAGACAAGATTGCTATAATTTTCCAGGATCACATCTCTGTATAGCATCTTCTGAGCAGGGTTCAGCAGATACCACTCTTCCTGAGTGAAGTCCACACATACATCCTTGAATGACACTTGTTCCTGTAATAGTATATTCTTTTTATATGAAATGGTCAAAACTAGATGATATAGACAAGATTTAAGAGAACTAATCTCTTTAGAGTTTACTAAAAAATGACAGATAGGTTCCCTTCGTGCTATACTATACAGAATACAAAATATCTTGTATAAACTGAGTTTCTACTAAGGGTGTGGAATTGTGCTAGCTGCTGCAAATCCTACTGATGAAAACAGACAAGCATGGTCCCTGTTCTCAAAGTGCTTATGACCTAATAAGGAGATACACAGATTAACATTTATTAAGTTGGACACCGCAGGAGCTAGCAGTGTGTACCAAGGAGATTGAAGTTACAGAGGAAATATTCATTGTTTCATATTACCTTATACCTTATCAAGTTAACTGTCATCAAGGAAGTAAAACTTTGTTATTTAAATAAATAACGGGATTGAAATGAATATGGCATAGGCCCTGACCAAGCTCAGCACATACTGATTCAAGTGACTGCCCTGCAGTCTACATGCCCTCAGAGAAAAGGATTAATCTTCTCTGCTCAATGAGATCATCTGGAGCTTCCACCAATGTTTCCAATGTTTCTGTTTTTAACATCTAGTAAAAAATTTCATGGTATGTGAAGATATAGGGACAAATTTTTAAAAAATAAAAATAAAACCAAACTCACAGGTGACCAAGATAGTGGAATTAACAAACAAAAACTTCAAAACAAATTATAATTAATATGTTAAATAGAAGAAAATATTAACAAAATAAATGAGAAAATGAGAGAAGTTTAACACATACATGTATGTATGTTATACAGAAAAAGGTTAATACAGCAGGCCTGAGACTACTAAGTTTTGAAAGGTCTGCTACAAAAGATCACCCTTGATTAGCATCTGGGAACTTAGATCTCAGAAAGGTTCTGACCTTAACCTTCTCTGATAAGAATGGCTCACTGAGCCTGAGCTGTTTATATAAGTAATATGGTTTACACTCAATATGTGCATTGCTTCTGGGAGTCTAGAATTTTGGTACATGATAAGCAGACAGTACCTATGTGACCAGCCTCTAATAAAAATTCTGGGCACCAAATGTCTATTGAGTTTCCTTGATACACATTTTACATGCATTGTCACATGTCATTGCTAGAGGAGTTAAGTGTGTTCTATGAGATTCTGTTCAGAAGAAGACTCTTGTAATTTCACTGATTTTGCTCTGTATCCTTTCACTACAATAAATCATAGCCATAAATTTGACTATGGGTCTACAAGCAACAATACATCAGTAACAACAGGCACATCTGGCACCCTAATTTTGGTTTCTAATGCGATGCTCCAATATATGCTGAGTCATCCTAGAGAATCATTAATAACCTGGGGGTGGTCTCAGAGACCTCTCATACATGCATACACACACAGACACACACACAAATACACATGCATGCACACACACATATATATAAAATGGACATTCTAGAGCTCAAAAATATAATACCTGAAATTAAGAGCTTATTAGATGGGTTCAAAATCATATTAGAGAAAGAAAACATAATCTGAAACAAATATGCAAGTAAACAAGGAAAGTCTGAGAAACTGTCACATCCAAGTAGAGCCTACAGAGACATGATGGAAGTATCCTAGAACAGAAAAATTACGTTAGGGAAAAATTAAGAAAATCTTAATAAAGTTGTCATTACTTATTAATATATCAATATTGTTTCATTAATTGTGACAAATGTACATGTTAATATAAGACATTAATAATGGGGAAACTTTGTCTATGGGATGTATATGAAAACTCTTTGTACTGTCTTCCTAACTTTTCCATAAATCTAAAACTCTTCTAAAGCAAAAAGTTTATATAATAAGAAAGAAACAGGAAAAGGGAGAACAAAACTAATGAAGTAGAATGATGTCAGCAAAATGGAGAAGTAGGCAGCACCAAGCTCAGGTCTGTCAGAGGCATCAAAAAACAAGCAGAAACTGTCAGAACAAACATCAGAATTCTGAAAAGGTCAAAGGCTAACCGCAACCAAGTAGATGCCAAATCAGGAAAAAAAAAAAAAACTTCAAAATAGTAGGAAAGCTTTGTGGCACTTCTACTTGCCTTCACCCCAACCCTCCTTGGCTTGGTGACAGCCTTGAGATGGCAGCCCACATTTCAAGTGTGGGTCCCTGGTCCTTGATTCTAGAGGGACCAGAACAGACCTTACTTAAAAGGAATTGTGTTTACCTGTTCTAAATAAGTGGGAAATACCTGATGGACTGATGCAATATGCTTGTTTCTATTTCACCTAACTCAGAACTCATTTAGGATAGAAAAGAAATAGGCCTTGCTCAAAAACACTCTACAGGGAAAAAATATCTGCAGTTGTCTGTAGCAGAAGATTATGGTTGAGACATATACTATGCCACTGAAAGCCTGAGAAGAAAACCTGGAGAGGGTTTATTTGGGAAATTTGGGCTTTCAAAAAACCCCATATAGAGAGAAATTTAGAAACCCAGACACACTCACAAGCCTTGAGAAGACCATGAGCTGTCACCTACAGCTAGTCTCTAGGTTCAGTGCAATCAAGACACGAAGGCTAAAGCAAGGTTGTAAACAGCCGGGCTAAACGTTAAAGAGTAGCCCAGTACAGAGTCAATGTGCAAAGACTGGGAGAAATGTTTATTTCTTGTTTTTAGCACCAGAGATTCAAAGAAAACTCAGCAAAAACATTAGCTGAGTACAAGCTAAGGAAAAGAGGCTTCAGTGACCACACACAAAACAAAAACAAACTCAAAGGTAGAATTCTATATATAGCAAAAATAAAAGTTAGAGATTACCATGTATGATTTCCAAAACCATAAACAGAGTAATCACAACCAACAGATAGGCATCATAACAAACACCAAAGGGAGTTTCCATGAAAAGGAAAAATGACCCAAAATAGAAATATGAAAAGGCAGGAAGGAGTGAAAAGCCTAGAAATGAAGGGGGTAAATGGAGTCAACATGTTTCAAAGTTATAGGTTTAGGTAGTACAATGGATAGTTTGTATTTCATTATAATATGTCAAAAATGCTTGCTTGTTTGTTTGCTTTGAGATGGGAGTCTTGCTCTTTTGCCAGGCTGGAGTGCAGTGGTGCAATCTTGGCTCACTGCAACCTCACTTCCCGGGTTCTAGCGATTCCCCTGCCTCAGCCTCCTGAGTAGCTGTGACTACAGGTGCCCACTACCATGCCCAGCTAATTTTTCGTATTTTAGTAGAGACAGGGTTTCACCATGGCCAGGATGGTCTCGATCTCCTGACCTCGTGATCCACCCACCTCGACCTCCCAAAGTGTTGGGATTACAGGCGTGAGCCACCGTGCCCAGTCAAAAATCCTTGTCTTAACTTATAGAATAACCACAACAGAGTACCACCACAAACCCAACAAAAGAGCAAAAATAAAAAATAAAATGCCAAGTGTCAGGATGAATGTGTGGAGTAAGAACACTCATGCACCACTGCTGGCAAAGTAAACTGGTACAAACCTTGGGCAGCTGGCGAAATCAATGTATAACCTTCATGTGCTGATGTATGATTTTGCCTGCAACTTCTGCTTTCCTGAAATGTACCATCACCTTTAAAAACTCTTGCTTATAAACCATCAGGGAGCTCAGGTCTTAAGTGTAACTACCCAATTCTCCTTGCTTGATGCCCTACAACAAATGCCTCCATTTCTCTTGCTGCAAATCCCAGTGTCAGTTTTAGCTTTTTCTATGTGTTCAGGGAGAGGACCAAAGTTTGTTTTGGTAAAAGAAAGAAGAATTATAGAATTCTAATATCACCATTTTGCAATCCTTAATGAATTACTGAATTTAGATAATCAGGGACTTTCAAAGATTACGAAAAGGATAATTAACTCAGGTGCAGTGGCTCATGCCTACAATCCCAGAACTTTGGGAGGCCAAAATAGGACTATTGCCTGAACCAAGGAGTTTGACACCAGCCTGGTCAACATAGCAGGACCCCATCTCTACAAAAAAAAAATTTTAGACTGGTGTAGTGGCATGTACCTGTAGTTCCAACTACTCAGTAGTAGGCTGAGGCAGGAGGATCACTTGAGCCCAAGAGTTCAAGGCTGCAGTGAACCATGACTGTGCCAATGCACTCCAGCCTGAGGGACAGAGCAAGATCCTGACTCAAGAAAACAAACAACAACAAACCAAAAGGACAATGAGACATTATGTGGCCCTGATGGAAGTACACAATATGATCTACGATAAATTCTTACCAAAACCTAAGCACCAATCAGGATTAAGTTCAACTACTTAAAGAAAACACTGAGATCACAGAAACAGGTTAAACATAACCACAGTGACACAACAAGGAAAATCTTCAACAAACACACTGCAGTAAATAAAGACATGGAGAAGAAACATACAAATCACAGAGTCTTAGATGTTTCAACCATATTTGAATCCTGATTTAACAAATGTAAAAAAAAAATGCAACAACTGGAAAACACTGATTACACATTAAGAAATTTTCCAATTTTGTTGCAGTAACTGTATTGTGGTGTTTTGTTGTTATTATTATTTTTTTTGACAGAGACTCACTCTGTGGCCCAAGATGGAGTACAGTGCACAATCTCAGCTCACTGCAACTCTACTTTCTGGGATCAACTGATCCGCTCATCTCAGCCTCCTGAGTAGCTGGGATCACAGGAGTGAGCCACCATGCCCATCCAATTTTTTAATTTTTATTACTTATTAATTTTTACTTTTTGAGACAGAGTCTCACTCTGTCACCCAGGCTGAAGTACAGTGGCATGATCTCAACTCACTGAAACCTATGCCTCCCTTGTTCAAGCAATTCTCCTTTCTAAGCCTCTTGAGTAGCTGGGACTACAGGCGTATGCCACTATATCCGGCTCATTTTTATATTTTTAGTAGAGATATGGTTTCACCATATTGGCCAGGCTAGTCTTGAACTCCTGACCTCAGGTGATCCACCTGCCTCAACCTCCCAAAGTGCTGGGATTACAGGCATGAGCCAA